CTTGGAAAAACACACACACACATACACACCTCGCAGCTGTGGAGCTTGGCGTGCGCCAAAGCCAGCATCCGAGGAAGGGACAGCCGGGTCTTTGTGTGCTTGATTGGGCAGCCGTGTATTTTTAGGATGCATGTCAGCGGAAAAGCGTCGACTGTCGCGGGGCCTACGCGTAGCTTGTCTTCCACATATGCGCTGGTGACGGACAGCGGATTTCCTTTTTCGGCATCACGCCGCAACTAGACGTCGCACATCGCAGGTGCACTGCCGCAGCGTTTCTCGCCTTTTATTTTTTTGTGTCCCTCTTGCTCGTTGCCAAGTGGCCCTGTATAGAATGATAAACAGAACAAGCTGAGCTAAAAAAAAAAAAACGCCTAGCGCAGACCCTCTACTCCCCCTCTGCCCTAAAAAAAAACGTCGAGGGCAGAACCTCTAGTCCCCCTCTGCCCACACATGCACGCCTGAGTAGCCCCCCAACAACAACCCTGGTACTTGCTCTTATGCATTATTTTTTTAAGCGAAAGTTTCGCACTGTCCGCCAGTGCAACTAGACAACCACAAAAAAAAAACATCTCTGTCGACTTCAACCAGGCCTCTCGTTCGAACAGACCCGTGGATGCGAGCCTACTAGTGCCTCAGCAACGCTAGAACGACATCACGAGGAATGCCCTCCTTCCCCTTGCCGCAAAACATGCCCATAGCGGCTGCAAAACATTCCCCGCGCCGGCATTGGTTTCCTTGCCCAGTAGCCCCAATCTCTTGCGCCGCCAAGTATTGTAGATTGCTCCTAACCGTGCGCGCAAGCACGTACGGCACATTGTCGCCTTCGCTGTCCCTCGCCTTCTGACGGTCGAGCACATGCTGCGAGGGGGCGCGGAGAGAGGGGTGGGGGAGGGGCAGGAAATATGGTGAGTTTCAACAAATACAAGTGACCGCTCCCCCTGAGCAAGGTGGCAGGATAATTGACACCGCCTAAAGCGTCTAATTTCCTCCACCCACCGTGCGTACCGTCGTTTCATCTTGCACCCTGAGGTGAAGCAACGATGTCATCGTGTGGTATAAGATATCACCCCCCCCACGATAGTAATTTCCAGTTCTTCAATGCCCTCAATAAAGGCACATTGGCGAGGCAGAAAACGTCGGAGTTGTAACGCTCTTGTGGACCACTTCCCGAAACGTTTTGTTGGGACTACACACCTCTTCGGGCCCAGTGCGGGAGTGAACCTCTGACATTTGGTGCGGGGTGTGTGTGCCAAACGTTTGTGCGGGGGGGGGACTGATATCTTGCGTGACACGGCGCGTATTTTTTTTGTATGCTCTCTTTGATTTTGCAGACTTTCTTTGGTCTTGGAGAGGGCATGTACGTTAGGGCCAAGCACCGTGCCACTCCTAACTCTGCATCCATGTGGCTGCTGCGTGCAACAGGATATTCCTGCGTTTCGTTCGTGTTAGAGCTTCAACATAGACTGCTTCTGCGGGCTGGGATAGAGCCAGCACGTACGAGAGAGAGCGGTTTGTAGGTATACAACTACAAGCATTCTAGTGTTACATGTTGGTTGCTGTACAATCCACGTATCGGCTTGACGGGAGGCTGCCCACCGTCTGCTACACGGCCTTTCGTGAAAAAAGAAAGCCACTACACGTACCTGGATGGACACCCCAGCGATGATATGGGCCTGTTGGCGCCCACAGGTTGTAACCCCGCCCGGGTCGCCTTTCTTCCATTGCGGAAGGGGTGTCTGGCACCCGCACCCTTGCGCGGCCGTCTCCGCTTGCTCCCGTAGCAATGAACGAACTCCACCCGGGTTTTCCAGGGCCGTCTTCAGCAGCGCCGTCGCCAGAGGTGACTGCTTGGCAGCACGCGGGGGCTCGTCTGCCACGAGGGTGGCGAGCTCGTCGTCCAACTCTTCGTCTTGCGAACCCTCGACATCGAGGCTAGGTGCTGATGCCGTGGCAGCATAACCCTAACCCTGTCCTTCGGCATCAAGAGCGTTCCTTTCCGGAGGGTAAGGAAGTGACGATTGATTGTGGCTGGTCGCCACCATACTTGAGTTTCTTTTTCCGGACAGAAGGGTATTGGAAATTCATACTACAGTCAGTGTCACCCGTTCACAGCAGTTGATGACATTGACTCGCATAATAACTAACTGCGATCCGATGTTGTACGACGGGAAGGATTATTATTGTTCGAAATTCATGCGATCACCCAACTTGGATCACCCGTTCACAGCAGCAGTCGATGGCACTGACTCGAATAAAATAACTGCTACGACGGCCCCACAAAACCACGATACAACTGCGGCGGAGCGAAAGACGATATTCTTCCTCCTGAAAACAGGATAAGAAAGCATGTCCTCGAGCGTGCCCGGCGACACCCCGTCGTCTCCCACGTGGCGTTGGGAGCAACTACTGCTGCCGTACTTACTTCCGTTCCAGTGCTGCTGTATATGTAGTCCGTAAATCAATGCTTATCTATGGCAGGAGCCTCGATTTTCATCTCGCCAATCGGGGGCTCCGAGGGGCTACACGAGCAACGAATCAGAGCACCTGAGCACTGAGCACCCCGTGCCCCGTGAGCACCTGGTGGCTTGTGGCTTGTGGCTGGTGGCTGGTGGCCAGAACCTTTGGTATTACGCCGCAAATGGGACCGAAGGGGGCATTTTTTGACAGTCCCGTGCCCCCGCCATCCTCCTACAGCAGATCTTGTACTTCCACGCACACGCGCGCACGCCCCACCGCCGGAGTAGTGGAGCCAATATCCGATAACTGGAGCACCGAACAGCGTCGCCAGCCTAGAAGGAAGGTGTGCGTATCTGTCTTTCTGTGAGTAAACGCGACCGAGAGCGTCTGACACACACCAGTACATAAGTACTGCTGTACTCCTAAGCGAACATCGTACAATAGCCTTGGTAGACGCGTCCAGTTTTCTTCTGTTGCTGCCGTTTCTGTCTTTGATTCGAAGGATAGTTTAGCCTCCCCCATGCTGCCCCCTCACGGGGTCCCAGTTCATGGCAGGTATAATTGTTTTGTGTTTTCAACCGCACTAAGACTGACGTCTTTTCATTGGCCAGCCGGTTAGCGCGGTCGATCCCAAAAATATAAACATTTTGGTCGGGGGCTGGTGTGCGCATTTTTGGCAACAGCAGTGACGGCACGAGCACCAGTACGCCACCGCAGTTAGGTAAATTTGGCAATTTTCCGTCCCTATGGTGTGCCGATTGCTTCCTACTTTGCGAGCGTCTGTGCGTGCACACTGCCTTTCCATGCAACTACAAGTACGTACTTTTGTTGGATTGCCCCGCCCCGCCAGAGATTAAAATAGATTCGTTGGGTCAAATTCAAAAAAAAAAATACATGTATGCGATTTCCGCCCCTCACGAGCCTGGGTTACACTTTGGTAGTAACTCTTTAGGACTAACCGATGTTGAACGTAGCAAGGCTAGGTTCTTCACGCGAGCAAGGCTAGGTCCATCAGTGGGCTTAGACCACGCAAAGGCCACCCAGAACCCACGGAGACACGAGCCTTAGCCTCGTAGTGATTGGCGTCCTGCGTTATTGGCTGAGCAATATTGTAGCAATTGGCACAAGGGTATGACCCTCAGGGTGCGACGAAGTCGGGGGATGAATCCTTGCAAGCATGCATACCCTCTGGCAAGCCGATACACTGGGGCTGCCTGTTGTATGCATACGCAAAGAAAGTATATTTCCCCAACTTAGCCGATTCCATATTTTATCCAATGTATTTACCTACTCCGGGAAGAAAAGCAAAGACTACTACTTACTGAGGGTACAGCCCGCGGGTAGCCCCGGCCTCGTCTGGAGCCCTGTGCCTATATTCCCCAAAGAGATCTGTGTGGCGTATGATGCAAAGTGATCGACGTTCTGAAGATGAAACTCGGGAAAAGCTGCGAAGATTACTACAACAATGAAGAACGTCCGCTGAATGGGAATCCTCGAGTTCACCGTTGCCCGCGATGGCGAAAATGCGAAAATTCACCCTCGTCACACGACCAGAAAAGTTTGAAGTGCCTCCGAACCGACAAACGGGGGTGGGTGCCGATGTACGCCGCCGCCTGACCGACATACGACCACTCCACATACCACAGTTCGGGTCCGCACTTAGTACCCTCTTATTTTTTCCGAGGCTTGTAACTTTGATTTTTTTTGCCTCTCCCTACGGCGACGATATAGGTTTTAGCGTAGGCGTCTTCACTGAGCACCTGTTGGTAAGGGCGAGTTTTTTTATTTCGGAAATTTTGAGGCTCAAAGTTTTTTCGGAACTTCAGGCTCGTGGCCAAACTCGAGCCGCGGGTGGGGATGCCGCGCAGCTGTAGAGCGAGCGAATCGGTTTCTTCCGCGCGTCTTGTGCTAGAACGTCACCACCTCTTTGGGCTTGGGGTGGATTCGAGACGAGTGGGGAAGTCTGCGCCGTCTTGGCTAGCACATGAGTGGCATATGCGGTGGTGCATCTCGCTGCCATCCGGATCCTCCACCTCCCCACACGTGCCGTGCATACGGCCACCACAAACCACCTTGACACTTGTGCGCCCCGCTTGAACTCTGGAAGCTTGTACAACCTTCCATCCACCAGCGCACCGCATTGTATGCATGTGTGTGTGCTAACTGTTGCGCGTGCAATCGCAAGCGCGCGCGGCGTCTCACTAAATTTTGAATCGAACACCGCTATTGAGGGCACCAACGATTCAGCGGTTGACAACCGGGGTGCAGGCGTGCCACGAGGTTTTAGAATCTCTATTCAGGGGCATCCCGCTAAACGGGTAACCGCTCAACTGGGACCAAGACTGCAGCACCGACTGCGCTACATAACCGACTGAAGGATAACGTTACGTTCTTGTTTTATTTTTTTATTTTTTTCGTTTTTCGTTTTTCCGTTTTTCCTGTGTTCCGTTGTTCCTTTTTTCCTTTTTTCCTTTTCTTCTATTTTTCATATTTCTTTTTTTCCTTTTTGAAGGTATTGAAGGTTTTGACGGAAGCAGCAAGAGATGGAAACCCTTCTGTTCGATCTCGACGGCACGCTCTATCCCCTGGACAACGGTTACCACATCCACGTGGTGAGTGAGTGAGTAGGCTCCAGCCAACGGATACGTTGGCCACACTTGTTTCTTTGTGTGTGTGTAGTTTTTAAGAGCATCGACCGCGCTAACCGGCTGACCAATGAAAAGACGTCAGTCTCAGTGCGGTTGAAAACACGAAGCACTTCTAACTGCCATTAACTGGGACCCCGTGAGGAGGCGGCATGGGGGCCGGTACTCCGAATGAAAGACAGAAACGGTAGCAATAGAAGAAAACTGCACGGTTGTGTGTGTGTGCATAGAGCGCCTGCGTTGTACCGTAGAGTCGTCGCTGTACAAGCCGCATTCCATGTGCGACGCAAGATAACACACCCAATGGACCGATTTTCAAAGCTCGCTTTGTCAACAGCAGAAAGAGTTGCAGCGCCAAAAACGGTAGCGTTGAAGCCGTCTGGTCGACAGCTCTCCGAAAACGTATCGATTCGCTTATGCGTCCTCTTCGTCGTGGAGTAATCGAGCTTTGAAAATCGGTCCAGGGGGTGTTCTTGCGTCGCGTACGGTAATGCCAATGGATGTGGCAGATCTTATACCGGGCGACCAACCTTGTTTGTTCAGCCTTATGCAGAGGCCACTACACTGCCTTACATGCTAGAAAAGTTTTATTTATGGGCGAACGTATTATGGTTTAGTTTCCAACGGGTACCTCGTTTGCCTGTTTCAAGCGAAGAGCTCATTCCGACTGCCTTGTCGCGAAGAAAAAAAAACGAAAAACATCGGCTTGTCCTTAAGAGTATGCATGCGGCGATGGATAGGTGATTTTCCCACCCATTGGATGATAAAGCAATATTTTTTATCTTCAGTTGAACCGACAAGGTGTCAAGGCCTGTGGTGAGTGGGTCGGCAGCAACCCCCTCCCCCCTTAGACTGGAACGCTCACTGGTACTCCGTGTGCCGTTCAATTTGTTTCGTTTATCCGTTTCTCGCACGTTTCATCGGGAAAAAAACAAAAATGTCACAAAGCGGCAAAATATGTGGCGGTTCATGAGCGACAAGCTGGGGATAGAGGAGCCGGAGAAGGTTTGGAGGCCGCTTTTTCAGAAGTACAACCAATCGGCAAAGGGACTACGGTGAGGACATACTCGAGGTGCCAGCCCTTGAACCGGCGTTATGTCGCGGGCAACCGGCAGTGTTCAGAGCATGAAACAACTTGAACATTCCATCTGTGTCGCGCGATTTCACCCGGCACTATACATCATTGCGGGACCATTCCTGTGTACTACAGCAGGCATTTCCTTGATATTGCGATGATTCCGGAGGCCAAAAATCAGCTATCTGCGTCGTGCGATTTCACGGCCAGCAGGCGCTTGACTGCAGACCCTGGCACTGCTGTAGTACCGTGGGTAACGTAGGATACCACCCCCTGGACCAATTTTCTAAAGCCCGGTTACTCTCCACAGCAACAGAGAAGTCGTGGCGTCGAAATCCGAAAGCGTAGGTGTTGGAACCGACTCGCCGAGAAGCTTTTCCGACAACGTAGTTGTATCCTTTTTTTGTCGTGGAGCACTCGAGCTTTGAAAATCGGTGCAGGGGGTGTGGTATCTCGTGTCACGTAAACATACACGTACATGCATACATACAAAAATACATAAATCCTATACTCACGTTTCATTTCGACCACTGTCTTTCTCCGTGCTTGCATCGGGGGGCTTGGTTACGCATGCGCAGGGTAGGAGGCGGCTACGAGTTCGACCTGGAGGACTTCTGGACTAGCGTCAGGGCCGGCGCCGCGGACTTCATCAAGGAGGCACCGCCGGGGGTAAAGTCGGCGCTCGAGAAGCTGCCGCAGAAGGACAAGTACGTGTTCACCAACTGCAACGAAGTCGAGGCGGAGGTAATTTTTATTTTTGGTGTCTTCGGCGTTTTTTTAGCGGACGATGTATTTGTGTTTTCTCGCACGGGCGTTGGTTTCCGCACCATTTGTTTGTCGTGTTGCGGGTGTTGGAGTTCTTGCTTCGACGAGTTTCTCTCTCTCTCTCGCTTTCGCTTTCGCTCTCTCTCTCTCGCTCTTTCTCTCTCACACACACACCAAAACGCACGCGTATCCAAAGAAGTGGCAGACATAGAAAACACGTGCGGTCTTCTTCTGTTATTGCTACGGTATCTGTCTTTTTATCCGGAGGGTAGCGTAGTTCCCCCATGACGCTCGGTGGCAGGATCCCAGATCGTGGCCCACTGAAGAGTCTTGTCTTTTCTACCGCACCGAGACTGACCTATTTTCATTGGTCAGCCGGTTAGCGCGGTCGATGCTACCAAAAAAAACGCACGCACACGGTCGACGAGGGAAAGCGATGGCTGAACCCTTCTCGCTATAAAAACTAAGGCAAGCACCGTCGGGGGAAAGGTAGAGAAATAAAACAAAACAATACCATATACGTATACATGAAAAAGCTTTAAAAAAAACAATACCATATACGTATATATGAAAAAGCCATTGTGTGACCTTCCTCTTGTGTGACCCCGGCTGATATGTCAGCTATATATATTACGCAGAAAGGCCTGTAAACCGGCGCCAGAACACATGGGACGAATACACACACACACGCACGCATGACCCATGCATGATGATCTATTTGGTTCTAATCTCGGAACAGGAGGCCTTGGCGCTACTGGGAATCCGGCACCACTTCAAGGGGTATATATGAAAAAGCCATTGTGTGACCTTCCTCTTGTGTGACCCCGGCTGATATGTCAGCTATATATATTACGCAGAAAGGCCTGTAAACCGGCGCCAGAACACATGGGACGAATACACACACACACGCACGCATGACCCATGCATGATGATCTATTTGGTTCTAATCTCGGAACAGGAGGCCTTGGCGCTACTGGGAATCCGGCACCACTTCAAGGGCGTCATCGGCGCCAAGGCCATGGGGGAGACGTGCAAGCCCGACAAGGCGGCTTTCGAAGGAGTGCTCCAGTCGGTGGGAGCGGACCCCGCCAAGACAGGTACAGCAGGGGGGTGTTGTCGTTTCTGCTGCTGGTGTCGCTGTTGCTGTTGTTACTGTTTTTGTTGTTGTTGGTGGCGGTGGTGTTGGTGTCGTTTTGGGTATCGTTGTTCTTAGTGCTCGTGGTCCTTCTTCAGTCTGTACTCCGTGATGCCCGGGGACTGGACCGAATTAGTTCCTGGCCCGTGATGGCCTTACACAGGCGAACGTCAACAACAGCAACTGGCATTGATAAGCACGTTGTTTGCGATTGGAATGAGACATCCCCTCTTCTTTTTCTTGGGGACTGTGTTGGGTGTCGCGTTTCTTCGGTGAGAAGAGATCCGTGCGATCATTTTTTTTTCTCTCGAGGTACCGAAAAAAAAAAAACGAGTGAAGGAAGAAGACAGATAGTATGCGATCGATTTTTCAACTATTAATAGGACCGCCCCAAGAATGCTGCGAAGGGTGTTGTTTTCGGAAAGATCTTGCTTGCTCTACAATCCAAGAGGCCGCCAAGAAATCTTTCAAAAAACACATGGAAGGGCAGGGATTGAGCAGTACTTGGCGGCGACATGAAGCACTGGGCAACCGAACTTGGTCGGAACCATGTCGCGGTAAGCACGAAGAAAAATCTGGGCAAGGGATTTCGAGCTCCAGCCTCTTCAGAGGAGAGTACACGAACTGGTTCGCGAAACTCTTTTTTCTCATCTCCGTCCACTCCCAACACCTTACCAGCATTCTTGGCAGGCTCCTCGTTCACGCACCTGTCTGCGTTCGCCCGCGTTCTGTAGCACCACCTTTGTTGTGCGTTGCTTCGAAGAGACCCGCTGCTGCTTACCCCGTCTGTTCTCAGTGCCCGTTGCTTTCGGCGTTGCCCCGTGTTCCGCCCCTTCTGTTTCTTGGCCGGGTGGTTCGCGTGTGTGTTTTTATTATTAGCATCGACCGCGCTAACCGGCTGACCAATGAAAAGACTTCAGGCTCAGTGCGGGTGAAAACCAACAACACTTCTAACTGTCATTAACTGGTTCGCGCGCGCGCGCGCGCGCGCGTGTGTGTGTGTGTGTGTGTGTGTGCAATCTCGTTCGACGCATGGCTCGCGTACATGGACAACAACAACAACAACAACAACAACAACAACAACAACAACAACAACAACAACAACAACAACAACAATGGCAATTACGAAGTGATGTTCGAGGACTCCTTCAAGAACCTCGTGACGGCCACCTCGCTGGGGATGGCCACCGTGTTCGTGCAGTCGGACACCGCGAGAGAAGAGGGGGTCGGCTCGGTCGAGCTGGACACCGTCGACGCAGTGGTCTGCGACGTGAGCATTTTTCCGCATGCCTCGCCCAAAGAACAATATATGCTCAAAATTTACAACAATAATATTACCCCGTGTCCGTGCCTGAAGCATGAGGCAAGTCGTGTCTTGCCTTACGCTTACACCAGTGCCATTAGCAAGCTAACTCGCGCATGGAGCGAAGCCGTTTTGTTTCTCTAGGCTTTTAGACCGATGATATATTTTATTTAGTTTTTTGGGGGGAGCGGGGGTTTCGTGTTTCGTACGCCGCCGCATCAGGAACAGCGCTGCTGCTGCCGCTGCTGCGGTTACTACTGCTACAGGCAATTATGTAGCGAGTCGGCTCAGGTTTGACGAATGCTGCCGTTGTTATTTTCACGGCAATCTGTCCCGTTGACTTTTTCAACCCCCCCCCCCCCAACCCA